TGAAAAAAGTGATGTTTACAGCGTTGGCGTGCTGTTATGGGAGATATCAAGTGGTAGACCACCTTTTTATGTTAAAGATGAAGAATATGGCGTTAGTTTAGCTATAAACATTTTACAAGGACTCAGAGAAAGTGTCATTCCCGGTACTCCTGAATCTTATGTAAACATCTATACAGGTAAATATATTATAATATATTAAATAAATAATGTTCTTAATCATTAAATCGAATTTATTATATAATTTTAGAGTGCTGGGATGGCGAGCCAGAAAAGCGTCCGGCTATGAACAAAGTAGTTGATATATTAAATGATATTCTTACAAAAACAAATATATTAGAAAATAATCAAATGAATGAAGAATCAAATATCAAACAACCTTGGTATTCATCTGAATTGGCTTACAACTTTATTTTGAATAAGTTGAATTTAGTAAAATCGAATAATGAAACAAATGGGGAATTATCTCAAAATATAAATTTGAATCAGTTAAATATAGATTCGTTAGCATCGAATAATGAAACACATGAGAAATTATCTCAAAATATAAATTTGAATCAGTTGAATGTAGTAGAAGCAATAGAATCGAATACAGAAACAAACGTCATTATTTACGATGATACTATTTATAGTTTAAGGATTACAGAAGATAATAAGGATATATTATACACCTTAGGAGGATTACAAAGATTTAGAAATTTACAAGGACTTAACTGTAGTTATACTCAAATAACCAGCCTACCAACTTTACCCAACTCTTTAACGGAACTCTATTGCTATAATACTCAAGTAACCAGCCTACCAACTTTACCTAACTCCTTAAAAGTACTCAGTTGTAATGATACCCAAATAACCAGCCTACCAACTTTACCAAACTCCTTAACAAAACTCTATTGCCATTATACTTCAATAACCAACCTACCAACATTACCAAACTCCTTAACGGAACTCAGTTGCTATAATACCCAAGTAACCAGCCTACCAACTTTACTGGACTCCTTAATTATACTCAATTGCTCATATACTCAAATAACCAGCCTACCAACTTTACCAAACTCCTTAACAAAACTCTATTGCCATTATACTTCAATAACCAGCCTACAAACTTTACCAAACTCCTTAACGGAACTCTATTGTAATGATATTCAAATAACCAGCCTACCAACTTTACCAAACTCCTTAACAGAACTCATTTGCAGTAATACTCCAATAACCAGCCTACCAACTTTACCAAACTCCTTAACAAAACTCTATTGCCATTATACTTCAATAACCAGCCTACCAACTTTACCAAATTCCTTAACAAAACTCTATTGTAATGATATTCAAATAACCAGCCTACCAACTTTACCAAACTCTTTAACAGAACTCCATTGCTATGATACTCAAATAACCAGCCTACCAACTTTACCAAACTCCTTAAAAGTACTCAGTTGTAATGATACCCAAATAACCAGTCTACCAACTTTACCAAACTCCTTAACAAAGCTTTATTGCTATTATACTTCAATAACCAGGCTACAAACTTTACCAAACTCCTTAACAGAACTCAGTTGCTATAATACTAAAGTAACCAGCTTACCAACTTTACTGAACTCCTTAATTATACTCAATTGCTCCTATACTCATATAGCCAGCCTACCAATTTTACCTAACTCCTTAAAAGTACTCAGTTGTAATGATACTCAAATAACCAGCCTACCAACTTTACCAAACTCCTTAACAAAGCTTTATTGCCATTATACTTCAATAACCAGCCTACAAACTTTACCAAACTCCTTAACAGAACTCAGTTGCTATAATACTTCAATAACTAGTCTACAAACTTTACCAAACTCTTTAACAAAACTCGATTGCTCCTATACTCAAATAACCAACCTACCAACTTTATCCAACTCCTTGATGGAACTCTATTGCTATAATACTCCAATAACCAGCCTACCAACTTTACCTAACTCTTTAAAAACCCTCAAGTGTTATAATACACAAATAAATAGTTTGCCAAATTTACCTGATTACTTAATGAATATCAAACCAAAATCTTTGAAAATTCAATACATCAAATAATTCTCCTACAAATTATATGAAAATTTCTATTAATAGTAATTGATGTTTTAGTCTCAATGAGGAATACTGAATTGGAATATATATGTTGTATGCAGGAATGGAATTTATGTGGATTCTAAATTCACCTAGGTGGATACAGAATGTTAATCAGAATTAAAATTAATTAAGATTGGTGTTTAGATTATAGTATTATGGTTAGATAGTGCCAGGCAAGATTCAGTATCCATCCAAAATTACATATAAAAGAAATTTAATTTAAAAGTTAATTTAATGATATAAATTATAATATTTTTTACAACAAAATTTATATGCTTCATTAAAAATTTTATTGAACCTTTTTCTTATAATAGTTGCAAACAAATTAAAGCATTTTAATATTAGGTTATTTTATTTTTTATTTCAGTAAATAAAAATTTCGTTAAAATTTATAGGAAATCTTGCAATAGCTAAGATTCCGTAAATCTTTCACTGTAACCTTTAATTAGTTAAATTTTTTTTAATTTTCAATGGCATATTCTATCTAAGTTTATAAGTAATTTTAATTAGTTGGCATTACTTTACATTTATTCTTTAGGATTTTTTAATAAAGAAAACTTTATTTTGAAGAAGTCTATAAAAAAATAAATCGTTCTGATTTTCTATATATTTGCAACTTTTGTGTATTTACTAAAAAAATAAAAACAACGGAATATGATTCGTTAGTTTATTATCTTATCATGTTAAATTATGTCTTAGTAGTTAAGAAAGTAACCCGTTGTCATCTTACTATTTAATTTCAAGATTTTTTTTTCCAAAAAAAAATTATCGTTATAACAAATTCCAGAAAAAATGATTCTTAGCGAATTAGAAATAGGAATTAACAAAAGAAATTTATAATGGTATTTGTTTCTATACAATATGCTTAGATAAATTGTCATCGTGCTTCTTTTATACAAATTTCAAATTGTAAAATCATCGTGTTAATTCCTGCTCTACAATTTAATAATTCACTTCTTTTTCTAATTTTCTCTTGTGAAGAAAAATGTCTCTCAGTTAAATAAATTATTATCTACAGTATATATTTAGTATTACTGACTTCTTTCTGAATTTCAGTAAAATTTCCTTACTTTCTCAAGAGTTATAAACAATGGCCTAGCCTGTGATAACTAATCCTTATTCAATTATCACAATGAATCGAATTAGGTTCGCAGTAACACCTCACTTCTATAATAACCACTATTTTGCGATAGTCACAAAATAAATCACAACATTTCTAAATATAAATAAAACCAAGAATGTTAGATATTATGATAAGTAATTTGAAGAGAAAAGTTTCTGGTGTGTAATATTTGTTTTCGTATGCCAAATATTTAGCTATTAAGTACTCAAAAATCAAACTTAATAAAATAGATCACGAACTTGATTAGATGTTCCATAAATCTATAAAAGTTAACATTATTTCCTAGATTGTCTAGCAGGCAAATTTGCCTGCAAAATTAAAAAAAATTGTTAATTTTTTTATAAAATATTAAAAATTAATTTTAGTAATATTATTACTATATAAAAAATATAAATTAATATATATTTTATCAACTTTATTAACAAAGATTTTAAGTTTTTTAAAAGGTTTTTAAAATAATTTAATTATAAA